AAATGTTATGGCCAATTAAAAGTTTTTTTATAAGTACGGAAATCTCCAAGGTCAAGGTCCAAAGGTCAAAATTTTTAGTGTCCAATGAAAGGTCATGCCAAAAAATATGTGAAGTATGAGAGTACTAGTATCTACTGTTTAAAAGTTATGTCCAAAGTAAAAATTTGGCATTTTTGTGTAAATTGGGACAAACTCCAAGGTAAAGGTCAAAAGGTCAAATTTGGTGGTATCCAAAGTAAGGCCTTGTCACAAGGAATACACATATTAAATATGAAAGTCATAGCTACAATAAATGTAAAGTAATGGTCAAGGTTATAGTTTTGCGGACAAACAGACCGCCAGATAGACAGACAGACATACAGACGGACACGATAAAACTATATACCCCCGAATCTTCGCTTACGGGGACATAAAAAGAAATGGTCTTAAATTAACTTTTCATATTATGATACAGTATAAAGAAGACGTTACAAAAAAATGAAAAAGTCTGTTCTGAATTTTCATATTAAAGTCTCTGAAAAATAAATACATTCATAACTGAGTGAAAGAGTGGAGTAAAACAAGAATTAAGAAATGTAATGAATACTGTGTGCTAATTCAAAAGGTTATGTTGACATGTATAGTTTTTGCATTAGAATGTGTATTTTACACTAGCCCATAGCTTTACAGAGAATATTCTTAGGTGTTATACCCACCCCACCCCTAACATATTTAGGAGGAAGTCGATTATCAACAAAAGCAACAAAAAAAACTAGCCTACTTTTATTTTTCTATAAGGAGGGACTAAAAAAAGCTTAAAATAATATACTTTTCTACTAATTTTCAACTGTTACTTTGCCACAATACTTACAAGTTACCCCAACCAAGATTTAAAGGATGCTTTAATCATGGTGAAGTTAATTATGATATGATAGTACTTGTGTGAAGGCTTAACTTCATTTCAATATTTTATCTACAGCCTCTTTTAGTATTATTGAAAGGTATAGAGTTTTATTTATATTTTTGCTTTTTATTTATTTATTTATTTTTTTGATTTAACGTAATGTTCTTTAGGGGGGGGGGGGTATAAAAACAATATGTATTTGCAAAGATTTAAAGTATCTTAAATCATATAGTGATAGTCTGCATGTACAGGATGGAACATATAAAAAAATATACAGGGGTCCTTTCATCCATTTCTATTTTTACTCACTCCTCCGAATGAAACCTCATTAATTCGATAACATTACTTTTTTGTACGCACCGACATTAATTCGTCTGCTACTAATTTCTACTTTTTTCCCAACAAATATTTTTTTCTGAAACAACGTATCAATGGAGTCAGTAAAGAAAAAAAAATATATTCATAAATTTCATCCCCAGCGTGCGTTTGATCCATTTACATATACCATTTTTGATTTTCTAGGTTTGCTCATTTATCAGAGAAATGAAGAATAATTGATTGATTCTTAATTGCTTAACACTGATTTGTCAATATTTCGGCATAGAGAAATTAGGAACTTTATTGCACCTACGTGCTAAGAAGAACAAAGATCAAATCTATTCGAACAAATGTATGAATTAGTCGAAGGAAATACAATTATAATATACATCATATTTTCCCCTTTCACCTGTTATAAATTTTGCATCACTTTAAAGGGGGTCATTTTTCAGTGGGGGTCATTTTTTAATAGTACTAACAAATAAAATAATGACCCCAGGACTATTTTTCTACAAAAAATGATTTTTTTTCTACGTGTAGGGGGTCATTTTTTGTCGTTGAAAAATGACCCCCGGTCATTAATCGATGGGGGTCATTATTCGTCTTTAAACCGGATCTTATTTACCTTGTGTGCGATGTCATCAAGAATGTCATACTTCACTCGTTTTTTCTTCACCTGTGCATAAACCGCTCCATTGAAATACCATGCCGCTGAAACACCCTCACTGTCCAACAGACGCGCGATCAACTCGCTGTTCTCCTTGGTAACGTCGTCGCCCAGTCGAATGTTACCGGGGGCCTCCTTCACTATTGATCGCTTTCGCATCATGTGGGCCTTTTTGTCGTCATTTACCATCTTCATAAGAATGGGTTTTGGTGCTTTCCCCTGGTTCCATGTATTCTGTGAACTGCTACAATGTCACGTTCGTTTACCTCTACATCCCCTTTCTCTTTCAGTACAGATTTCACGACCTCTATAATATCCTCGCCTTCTGTTTCCTGGACCCCGTAAATTTTAATATTGTTTTTTCTGCTGTATTGCTCATTATAATTAGCTTTCACTGTTGCAAAAGTAGCTAGATCTTTCAGCTCACCCATTTCCTTTTTCAGTTCTTTATTGTTTTTGTAAGTTTTGCACAGTTTTTCTTTTAGAGTTTCATTTTCCATTGTTAATCTATCAACGTCTTTTGTCAGATTCTCGATTCTTTTGTTTAACTGTGTTTCTCTTTTTTCTGCATTTGCTTCATGAATCTTCAGAAGTCCTTTCACTATGGATTCTAAATCGCATGTTTTGACCGTTTGTTGCAAACATTCTTTAATTTCAAGTAAATCAGCTTTTAGTGACCCTATTGTCGTCTGTTGTTTCAAACGTTTCATTTTTTCAGCCCCAGATTTGCTTTTTTCTGACCTATTCTTAGAACCAGGCATGTTTTTATTTTTATTTGGAAATAGCGTAAACAATGTCTATCACAAAGGAAACAGCACGGACGAATTGAGATGTTTTAAAGATCGTATAGTAAGCAGTACTCACGGCTGTGTAGAATTTCCTTTCTTAAAACACACAGATAGTTAGATCCAGTTTTTTTTTCACAATGTGAAGGTTCCTCTTAAGTTATTTTAGCGTGTTTGTTGTCGTCGTAAACTTTTTCACATTTTCTACTTCTTCTCAAGAACCGCTGGGCCAGTTTCAACCAATGTTGCTACAAAGCATCCTTGGATGAAGGGGATTCATGTTTGTTCAAATAAAGGGCCACGCCCTCATTCAAGGGGAGATAATTGGGAATTAATGAAAATTTGGTGGTAGTACGTTTTAAAAATCTTCTTCTCAAGAACCACTGTGCCAGGAAATATAAAACTTATGAGGAAATATTCTCAGGTAGTGTAGATTCAAGTTTTTTCAAATCATGACCCCCGGGGGTAAGGCGGGGCCACAATGGCCGACCAAAGTTTTACATAGAAATATATAGGAAAATTCTTTAAAAATCTTCTTCTCAAGAATAACAAAGTCATAAATGTTCATATTTATATGGAAGCATCCTCAGGTAGTGTAGATTCAAATTTGTTAAAATCATTACCCCCGAGGTTAGGGCGGGGTCAAAATGGCCGACCAAAGTTTTACATAGAAATAGTAAAATTCTTTAAAAATCATCTTCTCGAGAATAGCAACATGATTGGTACTGGGACTACTTTTGGATTTCAATAATAAACCAATTTCTACTTTTTCCTTACTACAGTGCTCAGGTAAGCACTGTAGCCCATGGGCCTCCTGTTTGTAATGTTTTATGGACCTCTGAGCTTAAATAATGTTCGTTTCCTTCTTTATCTCTTTCATGCATCACCTTTGTAAAAAAATAATGGATTATGCTCCCTGAACGAATCCATTCCACTGGTAAACTACACAAAAAGAAAAACTTCATTAATCACTCTCTATTAACGAATACTTTTGGTAGGAAATACCAGCTTAAGGGGGAACCTATGTCGTTCTACGTCAAAGCAGCGATCTGTGACGTCACAATAGCGACGTTTGATTTTGCAACAGTGATATAGGCATAACATTTTTTAATTATCAATAAGTCCATGATTTACAAAAAGAAAATTTATTCATCATTTATAACAGTTTTATTCGATTTATGGATTTTGTAAATAATTATTAGAACTCTCTTCCTTTGGTTGATAATTCATAGCAGTTTCAATTGTGAAAAAATACATCCTCGATGATATGTTGATATATAAGTGCAAAATGATAAGATAAATTTCAGCAAAGACAGCGGCTTAAATCAGGAAAATATGTTTAATTTCATGTTTACCATTAATTGTATTTTCTGGATAAAACTAAGAAAAAATTAAGGAATGTACTTGTACCTATATTTGCTTATTGATTTATATATAGTACATGTAGATTTTATTGTATAAAGTCATTCATTGCTAGGTTCTAAAAGGTGTTGGTTCGTGACGGGGAAATGTGGGGGGGGGGGGAATGATTAGGATGAAGAAAAAATGAATTAATATGTGTAAATTGTTTCTTATCAAAACAAAATACTCGTTTTCTGCAAAAAAGTTTAGTATTCAGATTGTCGTCAGTGCTTACTTACCTTTGTCTTAGTGCAGATAGGTCAATATTTATACATGTAACACAAGAGTACGAAAATAAAAGAAAACGTCATATTTCTCGTTTATTTTATCATAAAGGTACATTTTTTTTCTTTGTTAAAATGAAGAGATGAATCATTACTTTGAAAAAATATGAATTACAACATTTTCACACAAAGACTTTTTAAGATATTACCTGTTTTGCATGTCGGAATTGTAAAAAAAAAAAACATACGAAAAGAAAACGGGGTGATACTAACATTGTGCTCCAGTATTAATTTTCATGCATGATGAATTATAATTAATTTGCCTTCATTTTAAAGATACAAGTCATATATATTAAATACCTGTTGATTTCGAATGTGATTTGACATTTTTGGTTCTTTTTAGTGCATATTTGAAGTAGAACAATAATGTTTGAAAATAATCTATTTTTAGCATTTCACACTATTTTTGCACGTGCTCCTGTGTAAAAATAAGCATATAAAGGTATTATTTTAATACCTAAAAAGAAAGAGCACTTGGTCAGGAAACAAATGTCAAAATTTTGAAAATTTCACACAGAGACTTTTCGGACATAGGTCTCCCCTTAAGTTATTTTAAGTGAATTGATATCACAAATTTATCATTTGCATGGAAGTGATGATTGATTTAAAAAAAAGGTTCTATTGACTAATTTATCATATGTTTTCTCTTTTTTTTGAAACAGCTCAATGAAGAGTTTAAGACCATGCTTAGAGGACGTCAAAATGAAATGTTTGATTACAAACAGAATCACTTTCACCATAGACGTGTTGACTGCTCCTTCGAAATTTCTGTGTTCAGAAGGAAAGCAAGGTACTGATGCTCATAAATAGAGAAACTATACTTCATACATAATACGATGAAAATGCTACAATGTAATTCAAGCATTTGTGTTAATACTTTCATATGGAAACTCTATTGTTTTCTTTGAAAAATGTAACCTTTTTTAAAAGTATTTAAAAAACAGTAATTTTTGAAATTCTTTTGTAGATTTCATTGACCATTTCCAATGTGCGATTCTTGATCATATCCAAAATCAAACAAGTTTTGAGATATGCCAAAATTATATGAAAGAATTATTCGAATCTGTCATAGAGTCCCAGATAGGTAGTTCTAATAATGATGGCAAAATATGCAGGTAATATTTTGTACAATTATTTCGCACATGCTAGAAAAAAGACAAAACATCTAACAGAGATTTTAAGAAAAAATAGTACAATAAATTGTAAAGGTCTAACATGCACATCTTTTATATTTCACAGGTACCGTAATATTTTTCTCTCTAACTGTTCACTGTTTTGTGAAATTATATCAAATATATATATATATATATATATATATATATATATATATATATATATATATATATATATATATATATATATATATATATATATATATATATATATATACCATATATAACCGTTTAGAGCAGCAAATAAAACCGTAATGTGTATGGAAGAAGAAGCAAACAAATTGTGCAGTGACGAAGCAACCAAAGTCATGCGTGCAAAAATGGAAGCTGCGATTCAGCCATTGAAGAAAAACATATCATGTGATAATAGTATGTATATTTTAAACTGAGCTATTTGTTGCAAGAAATAAAAGGAATTTAAGGAAGCTATACATGTGTGTGCCTTTAAAACTAATATAAGCGAAATTTATTATATATATCTTCGAATAATATATATTCAACATCATATTCGAAAAGAATACGTGTCATGAAAGCTTATTTGGTAGAAAGTTTGTTCGGTCAATATTGGACGCGACTTGCTTAAGTCGATCAACAATTAGAAAGCAAACCTTCTTTTGCCTTACTTCTAAAGGTTGTGGTTTTTCTTTTAATGAGACTTTAAAATCAGACACTCCGTGTTAGAATAATTGTTGCTGTGATTTAGATACCCCACTTCATGCTCAATAGCCTTGAGTGCCGAAAAACGTTTAAATTTATAGACGTATATTTCTATATTGTGAAGTCTCTATATGAGTTGAAAATTTTGAATGGGACATAAAACAAAATGCAACCAGTTAATCGATCAAATACAATAGGGTTAATATCTCTCAATGAATTAACATCATTTATAATGAACGGTGTAAAATTTAAGAATGATAGAAAAATTGGCATTTCGTAAATTCTATTCTTCTTGTATGGACGTTGTTAGCAAATTTCTTTACTCCATTGGTTCGTATTAAAGTCTGACCTAAACCTGTTTCATACTTTTTGTTAGGTCTTTGATATTATACTGATCAATGCATAGGTTCACAACATGTTAAGTTAGGGATGCTTACTCCTCCAAGGCACATAATTCCACATCTGCGATCTCAAAGGGGAGCCTTTTAATGCCATTTTCACATTTCACATTTTTGAACCGTTTATCGATTTTTTTTTAGATCGATCATTCTTTGATTTTTCACCCTTCACATTCAAATGAATCTGAAATATCAATACACATTTGATGTAAATTTGTTCTCAAAGAATCGCAGGGGTAAATATAAAATTTACGTCAATGATCTGTATGTCAGGAGAATGAACGTCTTTAAAAACACAAAACTAAAATAACAGTCAACAATTATCTTATTTATTGTGAAGTTTATGATACTTTTAAATTAATCAAGAAGTAATCATTTTGTGTTAAGAATGAATAAAAAGAACAAGTATTTCTTTATTTTAGATACAATTGTACGTGTACATGGATGTAACAAAGACGGGTTTTCTAAATGCCTACTGCAGTCATCTATACCAAATTTTGTGAGGAAATTAAAATCAATAAACAATTACAAGATTTTAAATACAGAAAAGATCGTTGATGAATATTGCAGGTAAAATTTTATTTTTCATCATAAATTTCCATTTCAACTGATGAAGTATTCAAAATAATTTGAATATAAAAATTAATGCAATGCAACTTGCTGGCCAATGATAAGGCAGATTGTATATAATACAATGAAGATTTAAATATGTAATACTGATATTTTTCATGCTCGATCATGATGCTTGTTTTACAGAAACAAGAGTATTTGTCTGTTCTACATTGCTACAAGTACATGTAACTATTTAAAACACTTTTAGAGTTCGTGCAAGCAATTCTGCAAAAAAACAATATTTTGAGAATTAAGAGATCAGCTGCAAATTCAATTTAAAAAGTTGTTATTCTAACAGATATTGCCTACTATCAAAGCTGATTTCAAGTAAGACATGATAGTGAATTAGGCTTAGATGTACAATATTTTCCTCGTTTTGTTGGTGTCTCTTGTACAGGGTCTGAAACATGATTAAAGCCTCCACGATCTAGATTATAATTCTAAAACTATTAAAAAAATAAATCCCAAATTGACTCCTCTAGTTTGGGTTTGCCCTATATATATATATATATATATATATATATATATATATATATATATATATATATATATATATATATATATATATATATATATAAAGCACTAAAAATGACCAACGACACGAACAAAAAAAATTGTCAAATTTTCGGGACGCCCTGGCCCTTCCTCAGGACAAAGAAAAAAGTTGAAAAGTCATAGGACCAAAGGAAAAAGAGAAACAAAAACAACCAACACTACTACTAAACTACTAAACACTAGATATTTACATACTTAATTACATGTTGAATTGGAAATTGTTTTTAAGAACACTAATAAAGAAAGAAATCCGGACCGCTATGAAATGCGTCCGGTCTATCGGGTATACTCGGGTGAAGTGCGATTTACATAATTGAACGAATTAATTATGCTAATTAATTACGACAATCAGTAAATAGTACATTGTTTCATTCTCTCAAAATGGCGTAACTTTACTTAATAAAGAATAATCAAAGAAAAATAATATAGCAGGGATATTTGAACATATGAATTATGATCAATTATAAATTTTGAAAAATTTAAGGACTTATTATTGGGAAAAAATAATTAACAAAGGCGTAAGCAATACATAGTTATGTGGGTTGTTCGAGAGTTGGTGACGCAAATTAACTGTAGAGTTTACACTAAATTGAGAGAATAATCTTGTTTAGTATCATCAGGAATTGGGTCTAGTTTACGTTCATTCTGGTGAAGTCATTCAGTTTGTAAATACCATTAGGGCGGAATGACTTCAATCTGTGCATCCAGAACTTTTCTTTGCTTTTTCTCTGAGCATTTGTCCATCTTGGGTTATGGTCAATCACCACTACTGTCATATTCTCCCATTTGTGACCCTCAAGGTTGAAATGTTCCCCAACGGGTTCATTGAGTTTTTTGGTCCTAATGGTCGAACAGTGGTTATTGACTCTCCTGCGGATATCTCCTGTTTCACCAATATACTGTTTGGAGCAAACTTTGCAACTGATGAGATAAATGCAGTTGTCAGTATGACAGGACAAATTCCCTAGTATTTTGTAGCTGCGGCCTGTAACAGGGCTGTTAAAACCGTCTGTATCAGTGCTGTGCTTACAAAGAAGACATCTGTCAGAGCAAGTTTTAAAGCCCCCGTTAGGTAATGGGTTGTCCAGTCTGGTTTTACTACCATGTCCTTTAGGTTCCTTGGGCGTCTGTGGTCTTCTTAAGTCCCACTTATGCAAAAGAGGCTACAATGCCCGCACCGTACAAACAGCTATTGATGAGATGGCGGAACATGACAGGCAAAACCTATTACGCTACAAGGAAAAAAATAATTGAATGAAAATAACATACCAATTAATATAGAAACATATTATATGGTGTAGACTCATTAAGTCTGGATAATTTTTTTTTCATTTTTTGATAATGTACATACCTTTATAAGAACCTTTAAGAGGTTTTCATTGAAATTTTAGTTTATTATATTCTATAGGAAATATATTATTTTACTAGGTAAACTGCTTTGTTAGGGAATTCTTACTACTCTAGGTCAACAACAATTGCTCAAACATATGTTCTTGTTTTTTGTTTTGTGTGTTTTTTTTTCCTTTTTGCTGATTATATTTTATTTATTAATATATAATTATTATTTTTCCTATCCATTTGTTAAATTAATTTTTTCCTTATCATTTCTCTCTCTCTCTCTCTCTCTCTCTCTCTCTCTCTCTCTCTCTCTCTCTCTGAATAAATTCTAAATATGTACCAATTGATAATCTACTCTTCATACATTTTGTCAATGTTTACATGTACTTGTAATTGTACTTTGACCAATTGAGAGAACGATCATAGGCATTTATGCCTACTGTTCAATCCATTTCTTTGTATGAATAAAATATATTTTAAACTAAACTATAACTGGCTAAAAGTGTGAATCTCTACAGAAATAGAAAACATTGATTACATTGAGTAATTAATTAATTACCTTGTAAGCATGCTATTTCTTGTATTGATCAGTATCATACGGGAGCCAAGTCATTGCTTAGAAGACATCAAAACCACATGTCATTCTACAAATAGTGTCTCCCTTAACATAGACACCGTGCTCTCTGCTGACACCTTCCTGTGTACTGTCGGGAAACAAGGTATACGAGGGCCGTTCAAAAATTACGCTCACTGTGCTATTATTTACTCTTACAGACGTCATATAGTTATAAAATTTCACTGGAATATGTATCTTAAAGATTCCAATAAATTTTGGGCAAAATCTTTGTATTTTTAAAACATTCTACAAAAAATATCGGTTTGTTGATATCGCTGATGGAGGGGTACGGAGCACGACAAAAAATTTGAAAAAAAAAAACAAGCGGAATCCAAAATTTAACTCATTAATGTTCTATAATTATCGATATTTTTTCGACAATTTTCTCAATTGTATGTTTTAATTGTTCTATTATTGTGCATTTAGATTTCTGACGTGATATTTGAAGTACTAACAGAAATATAGTGATTTTTCTCTGATGCGTTTCCAGTGAAAATGACCTCTGTTGAATTGACGGTGCACCACACTTTTGTTAAATTATGTGTAATGCTCAAATATGCATTATAAAACATGATATGTCCTGAAAACTCACTCAAAATTGATACCAATTTACAACATCTTAATATGAAATTTTGAAGACCATATAAGTAAAGATTCTTTTAAATTATGTGTGAGATTTTGCCCGATTATATCGTAAAATATTTTTTTTCTGTGCAACAAGTCGACTTAATTTTTGAGCGGTCCTCATATTAAATATATAAAATTATCTTAACTGTTTGAATTATAGTAATATAAGATAAAAATTATTAAATTTCACCAAGCATTATTATGGAACCATAATGAAATATAAATTGTTTATTACAGGCTTTATTAAGAACTTCAAATGTGTAGTGGTTGACATTCTCTTTGGTAGAGGTCTTCATTCCTGTGTAAAAAACCACATGACAGAATTAAAAGCTAACATCATTTTGGCTGAGACAGGTGGTTCTGGTATGTCCAGAGAAATCTCTGAAAATATATGCAGGTATGTTTTCATACGTTGAAATAGTTGCATTTAACATTACCGGTAAATATTTTTTTTCTTTTTCAAAACAAAATAAACATTTAAACTCATTTTTAGTAATACTTAATTTGTAAACTGCATTCTTAACATAATTTGTATGGTTTAAATAAATGAAGGAAAATACAAGTGTGAAATATTTATGTAAATTATGCTTTCAAATGCTAAGTATTTTTAATCTTATTTTTCAATAATGATTTTATAGAGCAGCAAATGAGACATTCAATTGTGTACAAGAAAAAAGCAGGACAATTTGTGGCGAGGAAGCAGAAGTATTCATGAAAGCTCACTTTGAAGCAATTGTCCAGCCATTGATGTCAAACATAACCTGTGTGAATGGTAAGCTTACAGTTACGTTTACGTTAAACTTTCATAGGTGTTTTATCAAATATTAAACAGACCAGTTAATTGTTAAACTTCATATATAAAAAAGAGTTTTGTAGATTCGATAAAATTAGAGCTGGAATATCTTATTATAAAGAGTTTTTAAAATCTAGCTTTTACGATGTAGATATCTTTAACTTTCTACGGGGATTATAAAATATTTAAATGTTGCATATTATCATAATCGTTCTTAATTTTGTTTTGAAATGAATAACATGTGAAAGTTCAGAAACAATCATTATTTTCAGGTTATTCTCCAAGAAAATACCTCAATAAAGTTTATACGGACAAAAATGCTGAAAGTTCAAGTACCATGACCACTTCATTTCTGGGAAACTCTTACTTTTTCATACTTTACCAACCTTTACTATGGGCATTTTTATCTTTTCATTAATATTCCTATTTTATTACTGTTTGTTTAAGGAGCAATGACTCTTTGGTCTTAATTTCACAATTTTTTGAGAAAACTTGTAAGCACTTATTTTCATTAAAAGAGGTCAACCATTAGATTAAAATGAAATATGCAGTGAAGTATATATATTTTTCAAAAACAAGTATATGTAAAACACACACACCCTCACACACACACACTCACACACACACACACACACACACACACACAGAGAGAGAGAGAGGGGGGGGGGGGGTATTAATATATTGTCATAAACATAATATTAAAAATGTAAGGTAAATTTGACTATAATAGTGTCATTTCTATTTAGTTACTTTAATACACGAAATAAATTCTGGCTTACTTAGTCAAGATATCACAATGCTTTTGTGCTATTTAAGGAAATATTAATGTTACAAAAAGAAAAAGTATGTTTCTAAAAACCATGTTTAAAATTTCAATGTGGTGCATTCTTTTCAATTTTCAGTTGCTAAGGGTATTCAGTGTATATGAAGCGTGCGTGATAATGTTTTATATGATACATAATAATGTAACGTAACCGAGGGTATCGTGTAATAATTAACTCGTGGATCGCTTTTGGTTTTCTGGTCACTGGTCGAGATTTCATATTTACGTTGGTCACAGTTTATTTAATGGTTAATGACCAATTTGTGGGCACTTTTAAAAACTGGTTGACAAAATGACCAATCTTTGGTCACTAAATTGGGTGAAGGAATGACTAATTTTTGGTCACCAAGTTGGTTGACGTTATGACCAACTTCTGGTCACTTATTTGGATGAGGTAATGACTAATGTTTGGTTCACTTTGGATAATATCTGTATCATAATTATTAGGGATAACACTCTGTTTAAAGTTTATAACATTTATTGTGACTATAAAATGGCCCACTTGTAAACACAGTCATAAATATGGTACTCTGTAATTTGGTTGGTACAACGTTATTTGGTGAACAAATAGGTGACCAACCAATGGTCAATACAGGGCGAATCTATTAACTTCGTCCTAAATGACTTTCCCCTTAATGATTTCGTATACATAGACTTGCAATTGGTACTGTTTGCACATACAATTGTCTTAAATCTGAAGCATACGGAGTCGCTCCCTACTGTTGACTGAAGTCTACACACAAAACAGCTGGTTTTTATAGAAAAAAAGCTGTTAAGTGAATGTAAAGAAAGCATACTTATAACGTCACAATCAATAAGTTAGCGTGTTTTGACCATCAAAATTACTAAATGAATTAATACCGTCATACCCATATAAAACATAAAAAATACACCGGATACCACTTTATCATTGAATTATACATGTTAATGTAGTTAGAAGAAGTTAATGTACCATCATATATATGTCGTGTTTGATTGAATTGACTACTCAAAAGATTTCAGTAATATAAACTATGGATAACATAAAGATTTTTCACTTAAAATAGTCTCTTTTATCAAAGAGTAGGCTCCCCTGTAACATTAAAAGTTCAAAATTATTCGTTAAAAGAAACGATTTTTTCCCTCACAGATAGTTGCAAGGACCAACATTTCATTGGCCATTGTAAAGTCGACCTTCGTCCTTGATCGAACATTAATGGACTAAGTGCAGAATAGTTCACACAGGTGTTAGCAAGCTTCTACAGCTCTCATTTGCATGGGACTGCCTTGTTTGAAAGTGTGAAACTATCCGTGACATTGTTTTAGAATTTGATAGCGAGGCTTAGCAAATGGCCGCGTAGTAAGTTGCATAGACAACGTGTACGAATGTAAAATCGGGGTTGAATTTCGCACATTTTTTCAAGAAATTGAGCCCACAATTTCAACTCCCAATAATCCTTTTCGGTTCTTTGCAACATGGTGCCTTATACAGCAAAAAAATTTACACAACGATTTTTTGCATCCAAAGTCAACAGGCCCCGGGGCCATTAATCTTAGACGACCTTACTTTTGATCTCAGACTCATTTATCCACCATTAATTCCATTGAAAAAAAGTGACACTGAGATCAAACGTGAGCCTGTCTAAGTTTTATGGCCCCGGAGTATAATAGGCAGTACAGGTGTAAGAAGAATAAGGAAATAACGAACAGTGTTCAATCTCAAAGTCCATAAAAAAGACAAAATAAGAGCAGAGCAAACACAGACCCCCGAAACATCAGAGGTGGGATCAGGTGCCATGGATGAGTGAGCATCCCCTGCCAACCGGTCAGACCCGCTATGTGCTCCTTGTCATGATCAGGAAATAACGGAAAAAATCTGTCTTCAATTCAGTGTATAAATTGGACTAACAATTGGTATGAAAAAAGTCAGTCAGCATTTGACTCATTGATAAATTGTATTTGCTGACAAGGTCATTGTATCGACCATGGAACTTACGAATGATGACTTTAAACGAGACTGCTGATATTCTTGTTTCATGAACTTGCTTGTCAATAATTTACCTCGTTTTAGAAATTGTTCATACGTAGAGCATGCTCTTGTGTATTGAATCAACTGAGGCATACATACTCCGTATGCAGGCGATGAAGGTATATTGCTGCATAAGTAAGGGAAGTTGACAATAGAAAAGTTAAAGTCATCACGTTTATCATATTGCTTCGTTGTTAGATTACCATTACTATCGTTTTCAAGTAAAATATCCAAGTATGAAACAGAAGTGTCGGACTCTGTGGTTTCTTTTATATCAAGCTCACCAGGGTATATCGTATCGACGTAGGAATGGAAATTACCATTATTTATTGACAACACGTCGTTGATATGTCTGAATGACGAGTTGAAATCCACAACAAGTGTTTTCTTCTTTTCACGCATAAGATTTTGCTTAAATTCTGCTTCATATGAATATAAAAACACGTCTGCTAATAATAGAGCGCAATTTGTACCCATGGGAATTCCAATAGATTGTCGGAGTACCTGGTCTCCAAAAACCACATAGATATTGTCAAATAGAAACTCAAGCATCTTCTTGATGTCAACTTCAGAGTATACGTGCAATCAGAATCTATTTTAAGGTACTTCGATCCTCAGGTTCTGAAAATCAAGCATTGACTAATTGAAAATGCTCATAAAAATGTCTCTGAATTTTCAAAGTAACGTGGTTTTACCCATAATAATTCTTCAATCATCATCTTTCAAATTAATCATAATATATAGAGAAAATTAGTAAATCTCAAAAATATTTACAGGAATTGCGAATAAGAGCACCTGCTATGCATTTTCCAATTCAAATTTGATCAAGTAACACATTTTAAAAATAAAACTCATAGGTATCCAGGCTTTTGAAGAAATTCCACAATTTTTAAACATATAATGTACTCTAATTTCTGTCATTTACTTCTATCATTTTACAATTCAAAGTGTATAAAATTCCCCTGTCATTGCAAAGCTCCATAAATCACCTCTAATTTCATATTATGTTAAGAAACATTGGTACTTATGGTCAGCTTAAAATAATCATTAATATTTCTTGATAAATGTAATTCTAAAATGCTTTTACGGGGTAAAAATTTCAACTTTTAATCAGACCTTTTCTGAGAACTTCAAAAAGTCTTGAAACACATTCAGAGGTATATAATGAAAATTGTTGCATGAAAAGATTTAATTTCAAGCTAAATTTTGAGACTTTTTGAATTAAATTATAAATTTAAGAGTTGTCCTTCTTGGCTGAGGATCTGAGTCCCTTAACAAAATAATTTTGCAAATGACCAATGACGAGGTAAGTAAATTTACGAGTTCCATTTTTATTGAAGAAGCAGCTGTCAATGATATCAAAAAGCCTGGATTTTAATTTATCGTGGGAAATTGCTGTGTATAAAGTTGAAAAGTCGTAAGTTTGTAAGCTATTGATTTTCGTAAAGTCTTGTGATTTGAAATTGTTCGAAAGTTCTTCAGATTTTTTAGTATCAACATCTGATTCACACTACTTCTTGAATATATAGTTGCACAGTATTCTTGAAGTTTTTCCTTCACTACTGTCAATATCTTAGTTAGGAGTAACGAAAGAGACTTTGTTGAACATTTACACGTTGCAATCATTATGTACCTTTATTTGTAAGAATTCTTATGAAGTTTCGGAATCCAATATATATAAGGTAGTTCAAATTCATTTTGAGTCTGTGGAATACTAGATTTTTATAAATGCAAAGCCTTACGCCCCCAAACAATAATTTCTATTTAGAATTGTACATTTTAGATTATGATC